AATTATATAATTAATTAATAAACTAGTTTTTTAAATTCATATATTTATATTCAAATAAATAAAATAAAATAAAATGAAAAATGTTAAATTGAGAGAATCAACTACGAATGGCTGAGTCACCAAATGATTGACCAGTTGTTTCTATTTTCTATTTGTAATAAACATATTTATATTTGTAAGATAATTTTCATATACTTTTTCTTTTTTTTTTTTCTTTTTAAAGATTAATAAATCTTTTCTCAATATTTATTTATTATAAATATCAGCACACACACACATACACACAATGAAACGTAATCGATTTGTCTCGTCATCACGTCGTAAAGCTCGTAAACGTTATTTCACTGCACCATCACATATTCGTCGTCGTTTAATGAGTGCACCATTAAATAAAGAATTACGAAGACGTTACAATGTTCGAAGCATACCTATTCGTAAAGATGACGAAGTAGCAGTACGTATGATTGATGTTTTATTTTAGTCTGATATAGTATGATATATCTTTCGTTTTTAAATAGATTACACGTGGTCATTTTAAAGGTCAACCATCAGGTAAAATAACACAAGTTTATCGTAAAAAATTTGTTGTTCATATCGAACGAATTACACGCGAAAAAGCTAATGGTAATACTGTTCATATTGGTATTCATCCATCAAAGGTAAAATGTGAAGTTAACCCTTTACCCCCGAATGTCCACTCCAGTGGACATTGGAAGAACAGTTGCGAAAAATTAAGAAAGCATCTGATTGAGAAACTCTAATAACACTTTTTGTAGTAAACTTCACGGGCTACCAATCGGTAAAAAAACGTTTTTTTTCGCTGCGCTCGTTCGGAGATATGTGACTCCTATGATCGACGATTTCGAAAAACGACTATTGTCTTGTAAAAGTAATTTTCTATTTCTAAGCAATAAATCGTTCGGCGACCTACTGCATGATACATGTAGAAAAAGGTGTTCACTAGCGATATGTTTAGTTTCCAGAATTCTCAGAAAAGTTTAGGAGGTCGACATATGGTAAAAAATGCAATAGCCACTAGAAGGTTTCTACAATAGTAACGTCCTGGCTCTTAAATATCCACGAATCAATGCAACAATTGTCTCAATCATAGAGAATTATAGAGCAAACATTTTTCTATGAAATGAAACGTTTCCGAGCTCTCTACGACGTTTCTTCACTGAGATACATCAGTTTTGCTGAATGCTCCTGTGAATTGGTCAAAATTTTCCCCCTACTCCCCCTCAGAAAAATGCCCTAAAATTGAAGAAAGCATTTCTTTGATTTGTTCATACTTTTGGCATATTGGAGGCACCAATACTTTATTTCAGTAGTAATTTCATTGCTAGCGCTTCTAGAACTACTGTCGGGGGTAAAGGGTTAAAAAAAAAAAAAAAAAATTCTATTTTTATTTTTATTTAGGTTCAAATAACAAAATTAAAATTAGATCGTGATCGACGACGTATTTTAGAACGTCGTTCAAAATCGAAATTGGCTGCTAAAGGCAAGCATACCGAAGAAAGCATTCAGCAAACATCAACAACTGCACCTATGGAAACATCATCATAAAATTAAAATTAAAAGTGTTTGATTGTTTGTTTTTCTTTTGTTTTGTATTTGTGTGTGCGATCGGAAAAAAATACAAACAGTACGACAAGAAGAAGAGATAATCAATAAAAATTAACAACTTCAAAAATAGGGAAGATTCTATTTGATTATATTTTATCTAGAGGAATGATTATATTCTTGATAAATTAATATATTCATTCGGAAATATGTCTAGTGTTTCAGAGTTTCTCACAGTAGTTTTCGAGAAAAAAGTTCTAGGTAATAGCATTCAGAAAAATGGAGTGCAATAGAAGAGTATCTAAAAACTCTTACGCTAGAGAAAGAATATATAATTCGTCACGAATCTTACGCTCTATTCATCGTGTCTTCGAAGATTTAGTTGGTCTGACTAAAATTATGATTATATCTTACATACTATGTGTTTCTGGGTGACACGACAGTTGAACTTTCATAAATTAATTAAGCAAGATATCAAATCAGTATCAGGCCGTTTGCTTCAATACGATAAAATGCGACATCTTATGGTGTTTATGATTTACTAGTACTTACCTTCAAGACTGAGAGAGTGCTCTTTACCGAGATGATCAAGTGTTCAAGTTAAATATATTATATTGAGCCATTGAATATATATCGGTATTTGTCTCATTCTATTATTGCTTTTGTGAACGTGAAGTTAATTGATTTTCACTTAAGTTTATCTAAGTTCGACACGACATCAAAACTTATGTGCCACTCTGACGTTGAACAATACAGTAAATAATACTCATTATTCGAAAAGTCATCTGACCAGACAATAAAATATCTGAATGTAAACTCATTACTGCCGAGATAATGCTTTTTTACTGTATTTTTCTCAATGAAAATTGCGATCCTCTCAAAAATATCGAAAAAAATGATTTTCGAATTTCGACTTGAAACCTTACGCGTAGATAAGCAATAAACGGAATAGTTTATTGTGAAAGTTTCAGATCTTTCCGTCGTTCTTATCTGAAGAAACAGCTATTGTAAAATTCTACCTCTTACATTGTTCATATACACAGTTAGATTCGTTGTTATTATTTCAGGATACGAGCAAATCACAGAAGTCCTAGCATTTTCAGAACAAACTATTCTGTTCAATGGCTAGCTATGGAAAATTTGTTTTCTTCTATGTCAAGCTATTTCATAAGGTGCCCACAAATGAGTCCCTAACAGAATCACCCAGATAGCACTTATTTGTGCTATGCATAGGTCGATTGAAATAGTCGATGGTCGTCACATATACATTGGACCCGACTGTTGATGATAATATGAACTTTTCAAGCACTTCCAAATAGTGTAAAAATATCAATGAAAAATCATTGGTCTCCCAAGGAAACCTCGAGGAGAGTATTAATTGAGACTTTCGCAGATTTCGATTAGAAAAATACAATTTAGATAAACACTAATATGATATTCAAAATCAGTATTCAAAACTAAATGAACTGACATGTATTTCCAAAATATTCCTAATCTTTGTTTTTCGTCAAAAAATTCACTCTTGATTTTCCTGAGAATTGACTAAAAAAGATGAATTTCGTAGAAAAGTCTATTCTTACTCCCTGTTCATCTGCTATTTGGAGTTTTACTCTCGTTGAATACAGCCTTAAAACTTGATTCCTACTGTCAAAATCACTTTTTGATGAAACTCATTTTTTTAACCTAATCCTGAGGGGCAATCACGGATGATTTTTCCGAAGAAAGAGAAAATTTTTGGAATACACTTCACTTCACTAAATTTCAGATGCTGATTCAGAATGCAATATTAGTTTCTATTTGAATTGTATTTTTCAAGGGTGAGTGGGTATGGTGTGTGCGTGTGGGTGGATGTGCATATGCATGAAATGAATAGATAAATACACACCTGTAGCCACATTAGCACTCACACTCTCTTTGTGTTTTTGAAGCTTTTTACGTTCCACATTTCGTAGATTTGGGTATGGATGTGAGTGCAGTATGTGAGTGTGTGTGAGATGAATAGATAAATCCACAATCACACTCACCAATATCCACCCCGAACACCTACTAATACTCACAACCCACCCTCTTCTCTCTGTCTACACTCATACTTCACCATAAAAGCTAAGACTGACGCATCATGTTGGAGTTTTTGTGCAAGTTACAACACTCCAAAGTGAGCATCTATGCAATTTTCTGATGTTTATTCGGAATATTTCGAACGTCATATCTGTCTAACACCTTGCGTATATTGCTATTAATCAATTGACAAATGTTCTTGTTCTGCATCGACAAGTATAAATGTATACGTGAGAAGACGCAGGAAAAAACGAAAAAGAGACGTGTTCCTTCCGGCATTTGACGTAGACATACGTTTTATAAGTTGACTAGGCTGCTGTTTTTTTGATAAAGTAAAGGTGTGTTTTAGTACGTATTGCTTTTTCTTCGAATGTATACATATTTTTTTCTGTTTCCCTCAAACGCTTGCAAGGACAAAAACAAGTGATGTGTGACGAAAGAGAATGTTCTTTGAATTTTTTGGAAGTATTTATATGCAAGTCATAAAAGAGCGAGCAGAAAAGGTAAGGACGATTCATTCTTTCGGCTGTTGTTCCGCGTAATAAGAAACATTCTTTTCCCTAGACAGAAATCTCTAGAGCCTGCAAAGCGGTAATTCACTTAAATCCGTATGTCTGTCTGTAGAAAGCATATTTTTAAAACAAATGTGCATTTCTTGCTTAGTTGCTCTTTTTATTTTTGTCTGCACACCCACACCCACATCCACCCTTTAATTCCATATACAAATCAACCAACCAGAATGAGTGGAACAACTACCATCGAAACATCCACCACTCTCGGACTTTTTAGGGTATTCATAAGAAAAAAAGAAGAGTATATAAATTGACTCGAGAGCACTATGGAATGTCTTAAATGATCTAATTTTGATTGAAATAGACTTCTGACAGCCACAATAATAAAAATGAAAAATACAAGATCGAATTACGACATAAGGCCGATTCGTTGTCTTGCTTTCAAGTCAACATTCAAAAACCAGTGTTTTCGATGTTCTTGATACAAGCCACAGCGTTGTAGTAAAAAAAAAATACGGTAAGAATACAGTATTGTAACAGCATGAACGTTGTCCATGGTATTCATAACCTATTAGGATCTACGTAGTGCACATTGTCCCTATTGAAAAGAAATTAGTCAGTTGAGAGATTTCTCTTGTCAGTTGTACGTTTAAGTTATTTCATTTTCTTCGCCAAAGTATCCAGACATAGTATAGCATTACCTGAATGTTATCTATTGAAAAATCAGTTTGTCATTGGTCAATAGCGCCCTCTACGCTTGATAATTTTTTTATTGGTTTTATTTTGCTCTTTGATTAAAATGATTGATTTGAATGAAACAAAAACAATCTAATCATTCTCTTCATTTCCCTTTTTTTTTTAAGTATCATGTTTTTTCGAATCGTTTCCTTGCTATTTATTCTCATTAATCTTTATTCAAAAAATCAAGTGTTTGCATCACCGGTGTTACTTTGGAGCAAACTGTACGTCTGACTTTTTCTTTTTATAATTTATGTAATATTTTTTTCTAGGAAATTTCCTCAATCGGAAGTTCCTCTAGCTCCACTCTCCTCATTAAATCTCATATCTGATTACATTTGTCAAGTACCCAATAAACAAATTGATCTACGCATTTTTGCTGTAAAAAATGTAAGTTTAAGAGAGAAAAAAATCATATTCTAGATTTCTTTTTATCTAGCTGGCTATTGAAGATATTCAACGTGGTCCACAACGTGATCATCCACTTCTATTAGATGCTAAAGTAAGATAACATTCTCGATTCATGATCTTCGAATATTTATTAATTTAATAGAAAAATCAAGAAAATTTTCTCTATTTTCCTAATGTTGACAATGATGTATACACAGCATTTTCATTAATTCCACGATCAAATAATATGAAATGTTCACATATACACTTTGAAATAATATCATTGAAAACTTTTGAAATATTAAATGATGGTTTGTTAAAAAATTCACAGTAGAAGAAAAAAAACATTCTCATTTTTTATTTCAGCATTAAATGAAATACAAACAACCATTGATAATATTGGAACAGATGCAAATAATGCTGTTCTTATTGCACTTATAAATGATCCAGTTGATGATAAAATATTGGTAAGAATATATCACTTAGTAAGGCGTACATCTATTCAGTATTCCTATGTCAGAGGTCCCATTATATGAAATTATAAAATGACATGGTGGAACACTTTTCATGAGAGGGGAACACCACGTATAATGTTATCTAGTTTAGCAGACAATCATTAACCTCATAAAAATTATTTTTTCTTCCTAAAAACAATTAGTCTCGTCAACGTCGACTAACTCAAGTCCAGGAAAAAACAGTACTGATATCGAATAATAAAACATGTATGTTTTATGCTAAACAATTATATTGGAATGATGTTAATGGAACAGTATCATCTGCTCGTAATTATAGTCTTAGTTTAAATGAAAGTTCTTGTCTGCCAAATATAACACCCGATGGCAATTATACTTCAGTTATGTATGTGAAAATTTAAACAGTATCTTTTTTTTCTCTCTAAAATCATATAAATATTTTTTTTAATTTTAGTCTTAATCTTGTTTGGATTAATAGTCAAGTACCAAGAGATACTGTTACTGTAAGGTAAATCTTGATGATTACTTTTCAAACACATGAAATGTAATCAATGGTCATTGTTCGGGATAAATATTAATTAATCATCTGATTTATTGAGAAATATGAGTTATTTGATTTGATCAAATGTGAAGTATATGAGGCTGAAAACTATTTATTTGTTCTATTCTGTTTTTTTTCTTGTCCTTAAGAACAATAAGTTGAAGAGAAAAAGTACTGGTGAAATTTTTTTGGTGCTTCACCTATTAAAGAATGACAGTGATTTATCACAAAAGCGTACTATACGGTGGCTACAATGCACTTCTCTCCTATCGACAAGATAAGGCGAAATTATTACTTTTATACTACTTCGCATTTACCTTTGATTTGACTATTCTCTTATCTCAAGTATATCACCTGTCTTCACTATATAGACAATACTGATACTCTGAATAGATAGTTCATCGAGCTGCTGGATACTCAGAGAATTTAGTCAACACGTTCGGTAAACATAGTCGATTTAAAAAATAAGCAAAATAAAATATCAAATAAAAAGAAATTGACATACAAATACTCATTTAACCATTCAGAAATTTCAGTTCATTTAGGAAGAAATCTCAGTAATTGTTTTAAGAAAAATTGATAAACTAGTAGAACAGAAAGTACATCGAAATTGTCAATTTTTTCTCTACCATCCAAATATATAGTATGTATCAAAAATCGCAAAGGTGAACATATTTATAATAGTCAATTTCAATATCTAAAAACAAATGAAATTTATTGATTGATATTAAATATGAAAATATTCATGCCAGATCTATGGGAAAAAAATATCATCTTAGTATAAAAGAGAATTGATACATAAAAAAAATGATATTTTTCCTTGATGATTTTTTGAGATCTTTTTTTTTCTCGTTCATCTAAATTTTGCCATTGGGAACCGAAACAATAAGAACTAGGAAGTCAAGTTCTTTATTTGCATTCACACCGACATTTTTTCTTACGCGCTTAACTTTTCTAGTGCTTCCCATGCATCAATCCTCTGCCTTTATTAAATTCTTCTTCCTGACATTGAGACAAATGCATTGTGTTTTCTAATTTTGTGAAGCATGATTCAAAAGGAGTGTTGAAGTATATAGGATTGAAACTTGGATCCATTTGTTGCCACGTGTCGTAGACCGTGACGAACATTTTAATATGCCATTAGCAACGGTTCATTATTAAAATAACTCATTAATATATCATTAGCAATTCATTTGTGCTTCGTTAACAAGTAATTAATGAAAAATGTACTGAAAGATATAGCGAGAAAAGTGAACCAATCTCCTATCACTCCACACGTGATGACAAAGAAAAATAATAGACGAAGCTCCCTATTGTGTCATAGAGCTTGACAGATATTTTGATAGTTTAGTTAATCTAACCATCAAGAACAAAGCGATCAACATGTGCGGAGAGTGCTTGTTAACAAGCGAAATAGATCAATTGCGTTGCACATGTTAATTCTGCAAGGGTTATGTTAAAAGTTTTTCGTTAGATAAGGATTTAAATTTGACTGTATTTTCTTAATATTAAGTCTGACTACAACAAAAATGGGACGTTTTTGGAGTTTGGAAAATGCTACTCTTAATCAAAATGAATATCGTTATTTTGTATCTGGAATGCATAGTCCAATGGAAACACCTCCGACATATTCCTATGTTTGTACAACAGCAGAATTTGTTCGATACGATAATTCGAAGACAAAATATGGGCAATACAATTTTAGCAATAAATTTTATATAAAAGAGCTTCAAGTAAAATGAAAATTTTGTTTTCTTAAATAAAAGGTATTATCTTTTTTGTTATGTTCAGTTTCAACCATTTAATGTTAATGGATCAGTTTTTGGTTTACCGAATTATTGCACATCATTTTTTACACGAGGCATATGGATGGCAATAACATCAAGTTTACTTTGCTTGGGCATATTATTATTTGGCATTTATCATTTAATGAAAATAAAATCAAACGATCGATTTGATGATCCAAAAGCAAAACCATTGATTATTAAGGCCCAAGAATAAACTATTACATGTTTTCTTTTTCTTTCAATGTATTTTAACAAAAGAGATCTTTTTTTTTCTATTTCAATAAAACTGGGTGAAGGGTTTTTTCAAATATTATATACTTTATTTTGTACAATAGATGCAGATTAAATTGATAATGAATGATGCTGAAGATGAGAATTTAATTGATGTTTCATTAGGTAAAAAAACAAATTCGTTTTTTTTTCGTTATTATTTTTAATTGATTTCGTTTGTGAAAGATTCATCTTCAACTATTTCATCATGGTTAATTGATTATTATTTTACAAAAACTTATTTAAGTCAAGTGAAAATTTCAAATAAATCTATACAACCAAATATTATAATTGGTTTACATGATATGTTTATTATTTATCAAATAATTCAAACAACATCAACATCGAAAGAATTTTTTGAATTATGTAAAAAAAAATTTCAACATATTAAAGATGATTTAATATTAGATAATTATAATAATTATTTAAATCGTTGTGGTTTAAAAGATATTATCGATTTATTTCATCAATGTAAATTAAAATCATTTATTAAAAAATTTATTTTTAATATTAATAATGTCAAAAATGATATTGATCGATTAATTTTGAATTATTTATTAGGAATAGCATTGGAACGATTTATTTATGATGAAAACACGCAGTTATCAACCGTAGAGACAAATCAAATTATACTTACATTATTGGACAATGAGAAAAATCATGCGGAACAAACACTTACTAAAGTAAGTTTTAGACATGGAACTACTTATATTGCTACTTTATGATTCTTAACTAAAGCGTCTTCCAAAGTTTTTCTATGAGTTTTGTTTTATATCTTATCATTCAATGGAAGAAGTTCGACTGAGGGTAGGCGCTGGCTCTTTACAAGATAGGTCTAGTTGCCAGAGTTTTCAATCGTTAAATACCTAAAAAGTCACTTTGGTTATTTGAAAATCCTTGAAGTTAAAAATTATGAAAATAGATGAAACAGAAAAGAAAGCTCTGCCGAAGAATTTCTACGTTTAGATATGATATAAGATTTGAAAGTCTTCTATTACAGGGGATGATTTATTGTTTGAAATTTTACGAAAGATTCAAATGTCCATTTCAACATTAAATAGTTAATGAGAGTTTGTTTTTATACATAGAACTCTCTAAATGTTCGGTTTCATTATTTATTTTTTTGATTGTTTGGAAAAGATATCCAAAAACTTTTATCTAGCTGTATAGATTAGAATTCTCTAACTTAGTTGGTTATTCGACTCGATCTGAAGTATCATCAGTCCGAGTATTAATTGATTGAACCAGTTTGAGCAGCATATTTAATTAAAATAGCGATTTCTTCCTTCTGAACGAACGCTATAGATTCGGATGTTCTTGGATTCGATAATTGATACTAGTTGAATCGATCAGAAATTATACTATTCTATGCCGATACCATTAATAGAGCGGATAATTCACGTGTCAAACAAGAGTTCATGTAACTAATTTTGAGTCTAGTCTCTTTTCATATCTCTCTTCTATTTTTCTAAGATATTTGTTCTATGTAGAATTATATAAAACATACAATATGTACATATCTGGCACTTTTACTGGATACACGCAATGAACATGCTCTTATTCATTGTCTTGCTACACCTGCACGAGCAGGAATTGAACGACGAACAATAGTTGAATTACGACGTTTATCAAAATTATCAAAGAATGAATGCTTAACTATTTATCAAATACTTATTTCATTTCTTCGACGCAAAGAATTAATATTAAGTCGATTATCATCATCACAACAAGATTCAATAAACACTGATGATGAATCATTTATTATACTTGATAAATATTATACTGGTATAAAAGATTTTTTTGATTTCATTGAACAAATACAAATGACAATTGAAGAAAATGAACATTTAAAAATTGAATCAATGTAATAGAAAAACAAATGTTTTTCTTTTTCAAAATTTTTATAATCATGTCTTTTTGTTTTAGTGTAACATTTCGTAAAATAATGACACATATGTCTAAACAATTACGTAAAGATAGTTCATTTAGTCGATGTGATTCAATTTTTAAGGAAATTATTGAAGAATTTAGCCAATGTTTTCAAACAACACTTCCACTTATGGATTGTGCATCACCAATTCGAGTAAGGCTTAAATTAGATTATTAATATAAATACACGAAACACTCTTAAGTTTGAATATGAATCCTGTTTTTTGGTTTGCTAACAACATATTTTTTAATGTGTCTAGTGTATGAATGATACCATGAAAGAATATTCGAAAGGAAAAAAAATTAAATTTATTTAAATTAACAAAGTATTATCATAGAATAAATATTATATTTCATTTTATTTTTCGATGAATGCTTATAATCATATTGCAATTTAAAAAAACCAATAACCTATCCTGAAAAATATTAAATAGAACATCTTTGAGAAAGTTAAAATTCATTGTNTTAGTCTCACGCATTTCAGAGCGTAAAAGAACTATGCAACATTAGATGTCGCACAATTCAATTTCATAATTTTTGTCTATAACTCCGAAGTTTTAATTCATCAGAAGAAATTAATACCATAAATGTTCAATGTTAGTTTTTTTCTTTATTTATTATAAAAATGGGCTCTTAAAAATCAGTCTCACCAAAGTGCATTGGTGGAAAATATTTCGACATTGATTCGATGACTCATCTGGATGTGTACATAGACTACTTGTTTGCATGATCGTAATCTGGAATAAGACACTGATTCGATTCTTTCATTCGATATATATATATATATATACTAACATACAGAGGGCAGAATATATCGTCATGCTCGAAGGAAATCAATCATAGTCTATCGCGTATAAAATTGAGGAATTAGATTTTCGATTGATTATTTTATAATCAAACTATTTTTTTCGTATCGTGGATTTTATCAGCTAATGTAGTAGCTTGATTGTTCTTAGTTCGTAATGAAGTGCTTTAGATAAGATTCAAGTTTCACTTTGTGGGGAAGAATCAACGGTCATATCTATTTACATCTGTTGTTTTTCAAATTTCTCAATAAATGTCAATCTTATACATGAAAGAGAACAAAACATCACAAGTTTCTTCCTTGGAGCTATAGTTTCAATTGTATTGTTCTTCACACAGTGAGAAAATGACTTAATAAGTACAAAAGAAATGGACCATTATTCATTTTCGTTCATCGAAAGTGTCTGTTCGATGAAGGTAATTTGTCGAACGCGGAACATCTCAAGATAGGTATCTCGGCTATGTAATATGTCACCATAATTTTCTTCAAGTGTTTTCTAATCGGACCAATGGGTTTAAGTATCTCGAATTTCATATTGACATAAAATTATCATTCTGCATTTTGATTGATGTTTAATTTAGGATATTTTTTGAAAGAAAAATGCATTATTAGATATAGCTATTGATCAGGCTTCAAAATAGATCGCTTAGTACAATCCAAAGAGACTTTGGTAACGGAAGGAACGCGCTTGAATTTTTGTCGATCTGCCCTACATAGATTTTCCTTCTTTGTTTTTTAAGGAAGATTTTCGTACAGTACCACTGAAAAGAACAAGGAACACTATAATGCAAACATTTCGTTACTTTTAGTTAGGCAACAAGCATAAATAAAAAATTTCTTCAATTTAAAGATGAATGATAAATTGTATCGTATAGATATATATTTTTTTTGGCGAAGCAATATATTTATAATCAGTGTCAATTCTAACGTCACCTGGCAATCATGGAAGACCAGAATTTCAGCCCACGGAATTTTCGGCCCGGTGCGAAATTCCGGTGATTTTTCAGGCCGGGTCGAAATTCCTTGTGAACTTTTGGCCCATGACCGTATTCGTCCTAAATTAAAAAACCTAACTTTTCAAAATTAGTTGCTAGACATCGTAGCGTTGAGCAGCACGTCATAGTGCTGAGTAGTATGGCGTAGTGCTGAGCGGTATTGCGTAGTGGGTATGGGTATTAAAGGAAGAGACATCCACACCCCATACCCTCTGCTCAGCACTACGTCATACTACTCAGCACTATGCCATACCACGGAGCACTATGACGCCCTGCTGAGCACAATGACGTCTTGCTCAGCACTACGACGTCCTGGTGAGCCCTATGACATTCTGTTCAGCACTACGCCATACTGCTCAGCACTACGTCATACCGCTGAGCACTATGACGTCCTGCTCAGCGCTACGATGTCTAGCAACTAATTTTGAAAAGTTAGGTTTTTTATTTTAGGGTCAATGCGGCCATGGGCCGAAAGTCCACAAGGAAATTCGGACCGGGCCCAGAGTTCGGGCCGGAATTCATGGAACCCGCAATCATGAGTAATTCATGACTTGCTCCCGACAGAGTCGAACTATCAAAACTCGATCTGATTTTAAAGCCTATCATCTATAATAGAAGCAACTTTATCGTTTGATATACCATAATCCTGCAGAATTCGACTGAAAGCTCTCTTTGTTTTTGATTGCTCAATTATTTTTCGAAAATAGGATCGGAACTGCTACATGTGTAAACTAGTACTTTTTGCAAGGTTTGTCTTCCAGAAGAGAGAAAAAATCAATTAATTCGTGATTTTTCTACTGAATCAGAGTAAATACAAGAATGAATCTCATTCACTTGTACATTTGTTTCATTTAATAGAATCAAAACAAAAATTTCTCGTTCAAAAAAAAAATAATCAACTTTTCACTTAACTTTTTCACAAGTTTTCATTCAAGTTCTTTATTTTTCTCTATTCAAATCAAATAAGATATGAAAAGCATCTAATGAACTTGGATCACCCGAACGATTCATTATTTTAACAAAATGGCTACCTCTCGTTTACGAACATAAAAGAATAAAGTTAAATAAATTAAAATTTTTATTATTTCATTTGATTTACAGTTGATAATTTATTAATTTTTTTGTAAAACGATTCAAATTTAAAGTTTACTTTTAAAAATTTGATTAATGAAAACTCGTATAGAAAGTAAATTTTTTTAAAAGATCTTAAAATAAAGTTATATTTTGTTTTAACTAGGTTTGCTGCAATTTGTAGAGAACGCAAGGTTTTGATAACAGAGAGTTTTAAGCTCTAGATATCTAGTGCAATTTATGAAGAACGTTAAGTATTGACCGAATGAGGATTTTCGTTTGTATTTAACTAAGAAGAATTTTACTGAAATGCAAAATTGGACTTGACTAGCTGATTTCTTTTTCTTTTGTTATTGATAAGCTAATACTCATAATGCACGAGCAAGGGTCATCGATTTGGACTTGACTAAGAATGGTTTTAATTAAAGATGATGCGAGTTTTTACATAGATTGTATCATAATTTATTGTCGCAATTCGATATGCATTCCGAATGGAATGTGGGTGAACTGAACTGCGTTCGTCAAGTGAAGACTTTAATCAACACCCATGGTTCAAATCTTTTGTATTTTGTATTTTGAGTTTTGTATATAAATATCTTTGCGCCTCAATTACTTGTCTCGTATCAAAGTAGTTTTAAGGTTAAAGTGCTAGCATAGTCTTGATATCTACAAGGTATAAGAGAAGGGAGGCGCGAGATTGACGACTCAGGAGACCGATTGGAAGACATTTTTAGATTCGCTCAGATTTTGTAGATTCTAGTGATGTTTTTAGATCTAATAAGAAAAAAAACTGAATAATACACTGAGAATTCGCTTGTCAAAAACGTAAATTTCACGAAAATGAGATGTGAGCCTTTCTGCCAGTAGGGAGAGCTCTGATAAATTCAGATGGAATATTTCTTTTTCCTTTAATCTAATTTTAATAATGACCATCTTGAAAACTTTGCTTTGAGAAAACAGTGTCATTTGGCACTTTTATGACAAAAATAAAATGTCATTTGACTTTTTGTTTTAGATGTCTATTAGAAACACTGATCATGTAAGATTAATTTAGAAATAAGATTAAGGAAAAAAGATGATGATGAAATGCCTTATCATCATATCATTTTCTTAGAAATGACTATCGATAGTTTAAAGTGGCGACATCATTCGTACTAGTTCAATATTATATGAACATTTTATAATAAATTTATGGAAATAATAATGATTAAAGAATAGTTTGAATATTATCCTATAAATCTTGTTTATATTTTCATTAATTGTATAGATCTTTCTATTCTAATTGGTTGTTTTCTATCTGTATTTCTTTGTTGAAAATCGTCTGATTAACAATCGCTTAACAGTGTTGTTCGATATGCATACAGATATTCTTTTATTATATTCTAGATTGATCTAATAATATGCCACCTCAATTTAATATTGATGATTTCGAACGATTGAGTAAAGTTGGAGAAGGCATGATAAAAAAAAAAGATAATTTCTAATTTTTTAAATTATTTTTTTTTTGCTTTTGTTTGTATTAATATAAGGTACCTATGGCATTGTGTATAAAGTGTGTCATCGACCAACATCACAAATTTATGCATTGAAAAAAATTCGATTAGAAGGTGAAGATGATGGTGTACCAGCAACAGCTATACGTGAAATATCAATATTAAAAGAACTTCGACATCAAAGTATTGTTCAGTAAGTTTAGAAAAAAAGTTCAGTTTAAATTGATAAATTTTGTATTAATCTTCGTTTCTGTTTTTAGACTTCGTGATGTTATTCTCACTGATGCACGTCTTTATTTAATATTTGAATATTTAGCAATGGATTTAAAAAAATATTTTGATTGCTTAGGTGAAAATGAAGATATGAATGTTGAATTAATTCGAGTATGAAGAAAGATCAATTATTTTTAAGGACATTTATTTATTATTTAGAGTTATACGTATCAAGTAATTGATGCATTACTTTTTTGTCATTGTCGTCGAATAATTCATCGTGATTTAAAGTAAAAAATAAATAAATAAACATAATACTATATAAATAAATGTATATTGTAGACCACAAAATCTTCTCGTCGATACGAAAGGTATTATTAAACTTGCTGATTTTGGTTTAGCAAGAGCATTCAGTGTACCACTTCGAATATATACACACGAAGTAAAAGGAAAAAAATTTTTTTTTCTTTTTGTATTTGTATTTATTAACTTAGGTTGTTACATTGTGGTATCGAGCGCCTGAAGTTTTACTCGGTGCTTCACGCTATTCATGTCCAGGTATTTATGGAAAATAGATAAAATTTATCTACGTTCTTATTCAGATAAAAATTCAAGCAACTTTTCGAGCTTTCTTTACTGTAGAATGAGCAAATATTATGAGTCACTTCTACAGGAATTTGTCTTTTTGTAAGCATATTCACGGTTTAATATCTATGATAACATGAGTCTATATAAAATGTTTACTGGAATTCATGTAAGCTTTTTCTGCTTAGAGACCACTTATAATAGACGTCCGGGAGAAAGAATGGGAAGAGAAGAGGCCAGCCAAAACTAGACAGAAAAAAGAATCGAACTTATGTAGACTGAGATTCTTGTTACAAATTTTGACGTTAAGTGAGGTTTAACAGCATTTTCAAATTATTCTATCTAGGGTTTGAATGGTGCCTCATTTATATATGAATGAAATGTATTAATCGTAAAATGTACTTTTTGCTTATTTATCTGATATATACTTAGCGTGAAGAACCCAATACTTGGCTTCTGTCAAATACTACTGAAAAAAATTATCGGACAGGATCAGGAGTATTCGACTGTCTAAAAGCGTCGAAACCTAGTAAAACGCGTTTGATAGTATCCAATCTATTTTGGATTTGGATACATATTCTTCTCCTACGCTTAGTTCATGAAATGTGATGCAATAGAAAGAAAATAAATATTCTAGTTGATTCAGCCAGCTTTTCCTAAACAAAAAAAAAACATTTTAACATTGGATGTTATTTATGAATCCTTCCTTAGTGGAATGACAGTAAAAACTAATCCGATTTGAGGCGCTCTTTATTTTCTAACAAAGAAGCAAACTTATTTTCTTATTTTAAATCGATATGCCGTGCTCNTCTTTGTTTGTTTACCATGAACACGTATAACTATAGACGAAAACTAATGCTTATGCGTACAAATTAATGCCGTATAAATAAATATACGAACAAATTTATTAACATCTGTAGTAACTTATACTTCGCATTGTATACAAAAATTTTGATTAAATTTTCTATCGATTGATATTTATGTTAATTATTAATCTTTAATAATTTCAATAAAATTTTTATCATATTCTTATGATGAGTATGCATCACAAAATCAGATAATATTCAACAGATATTTATCAAATAAGAACTGAACAAAATTATTTTGTTTTCATTAGGAAATAAATGCGTACAAATAAAAACCAAGACGAAGGTCATTAGTTTACAACTATTGCTATTCTACGATATAGTTATAGTTATAACCAATTGATAAATATTTATTCTTATTAACCAATAGAAAAACAATATTTAACAGCTGATAGAAATCAAACAATAGTAAACAAGCGCCATCTACTACGATTATAATAAATAATCATATGACAAAAACAAACAAAAATTATTTTCAGATTATTTTCAAATAATTATTTTTATTTAGATTTACAATATTTGATAAATTTAATTTTTATCACTTGCATCAAACTTTATGTAACTGCGAACAACATGTTTGTCAAAATGTGATCCATGCTATAAAAATTTAATTTAATTTTGACGGATTACATGTTGTTCGCATAGTTTTTTTTTTCTTTTTAGATATTTTTTTAAATTCTGTTGATGAATGACTAATACAACAAATAGTCAGGTGTTTATGGGCGTATTATGGTGTGATCTCAAACTTAATACTTATTGATAGTAATTCATTAGTGGTCAGATAGTCATGCAGTCATTATCAGGAATGAATATCTTTCTTGTAATAATAAGTTTATTTTTTTTATTAATTGGAATTATTTATCAACCATTACCGAAAGATTTTCCTCAACCATGGAAATATCGTTTTCTTTCATACTGGGCTCAGCGAATTGATCGAGTAGTATGTGCATATATTGAGCTTTTTTTTTTTTCTATTAAAAAATATAATTTAATTAATTGTATTAAGGGATATTATTGTGAGCAAATGAATTTATTTACTCGTGTTGATTTAATACGAAATCTTCATTATTTCTCAATTGGTTTATTTCAAAAACGACATCCTGAATGTCGTTTAAAAGTATAAATTTGAATTATTTAAACAAATAAAATCAATTTTTATATATATAGGTTTATGATAGAAAAATTGCAAATGTTAGTGTACGAATTTATGAACCAGAAGAATCGATTGATTATGAGAAAAAAACAGTGATGATTTATTTTCATGGTGGAGGATTTCTTTTAGGATCGATTGAAACATATGATCAAGCAACTTATTTATTGGCTAATTTAACACGTACTATACTTATTGCAGTTGAGTAAGTTCATATGAAATAATTCAATTGTTTGAACAACAAATTGAAAAGAAATAAATTTAATGAAAAAAAACATTCTTCGAATCATTTTACGATTTATGATTTTATGTTATCATTAAAATCAAATTTTACTGAGATTAAAAACAAGACTGAAAAAAGTTTTTTTCTGAAGATTTCAATTATAAGAAAAACTGTTTTTTTTGAGAGTTATTACAACACTATAATAAATTTATGATTAAACCTTCAATAAATCAGAATTTTCTGAATCTTTAGATTTGGATAGTTCTGAAATGAAAATTCACAAATGCGAACTATTTGGAATTTTGTTATTTTATCAAGATCTGTTTTGATTGGCAGTTTGAAATCATGATATGAGATATGGCTCGAACAGACATCTTGTCAATCAAAAAATTTTAGTAACGAAGACTTTAAAAACAACCTTTTTTCTGTTTCAAATCAAATCTTTAAGTATTATTCTATTGATGATAAATTCATCAAAGGAACTCGATTTAAAAAATTGCAAAGATTTCATCAAGTATTCTTGATGTAAGAAACAAGAATTGTTAATAATTAGTAAATAAATATCATGTGAGATTTGTTATTTTTTGTTCTTTATCAGTACATTTATTATCAAAATGTCCTGAATTAATGAATGTACTTTTGATAACGTTACCCTTCGGACCATGCACTTTTCCTTACAATAAACAGAATAGAAAGTTTTGCAGAAAAAAAAATCTAAAAGAATTTATGATCTATGTAGATCGTAAGTTATATTAAATTTTGTACGATTAACGATACAAAAACGCAATCATGTCCCAAAAAATTGTTATTCGCTGTTTCTGCAAGCAGTATTGATAGAAGGTTAGAATTATATTTTTCAGTGCTTTGGTTAATTTTTTCTTCGTTTTTTAATTTTCAAGCAAGGATGATTTAATATTGAAATTGATTAATTTAGATATCGTTTGGCACCAGAACATCGATTTCCAAGTGGTCTGGAAGATTGTTTATCTGTTAGTCGAGAGTTATTTAAAAATGGGAAAAATTATCAAATAAATTCTAATCGAATTATAATGTCTGGCGATTCAGCTGGAGGAAATTTAGCTTTAGTTGTTAGTCATTCATTAATTAATGATGGATATAAACCATATTTATTATCTTTATTATATCCATCATTACAATTTTTTGATTTTACTTTACCATCTTATCGTATGTATTTAAAACAAAATATTCTTGGTGTTTTAAATGAAAATAATCTTCTTTCAATGGTATCTTTATTAAGTAAAAATCATATTCAAATAACAGAAGATATATTTTTGAATTCACATGTTTCAATTGATGATAAGAAAAAACTTTATCCTTTTATAGATCCAAATAAATATTTATCTATATCACATGAAGTTAATGAAACTCAACAAGGAAATGAAGATTTAATAAATGATTTAAAATTTCTATTATCACCATTAATGTCTCCATTACTTGTATCTGATCAACAATTAATTCAATTACCAAAAATTCTTCTTTTTACAACTGAATTTGATATTCTTCGAGATGAAGGTGGATTAATTTTTATTAATTTAATTAAATAAATTGAAATTTCTATTTTTGTTTTCTTTTATTAAGGTTTTATATTTGCTTCTCGATTAAATTCATTGAATAAAACAATTTATCATCATCACTTTTCTAATGCATTTCATGGCGCTCATGTTTTCTTATATGGTCCATTAAGATTTGAAATAGCACATGAAATGATTGAACATACCGCACAAATAATTCGAAATCATCTGTAAATATTTGTCCAGATTGTTTTTTTTTGTTTCTTTATTTTGTCTGTACTCAAATAAAAAATAATACAAAATGACTATAATATCATCATTCTTGATTCAATTCAGAGAGGGACTATCAACAATGTTTTCCACCTAACGGCTAAGAAATGTTTACTATTAGAATTTCCAACTTATTTGGATTTTGATCTGAGAATTGTCGTGCTCAAGAGTAAATTTTACGAATTTCGGTCAATTTATTTATGATAAAATTCAAGATACATTATTGACATCCTTCTGACGTAGAGTTTGCTAAATTTCTTTTAAATATTATTAAAAACCATTTTCTTTTTACAATACATATATTGTCATATGAAAATCATCAATAATAATGCTAATAAACTAATAAATAATTTCCGATCTTGTATCTCTTACTATGTATAGAAACGAAAATTTCTAGAAAATATTAATGAGAAAATGATAATTCTGTTCAGTAGATGTAACGTTTGTTATCTACTAACGAGATAGGTACGTCAACTGATTAATCATATTCGAACCAGAACAATTTGCATCATATAGATTCTAATAAGTGATGAATAGAATGAAAAGAGTTCATGGTGATAGCGCATTGCTGTCAAGATATTGCTTTTCTATATGTTTTTTTTAATCGAATTCGTGGCTTTACTCACGATTACTGAAAAACTGTACACTTTTCATAATAAACTATTCTATTTACAGTCTATCTCTGCAAAGTTTCAAGTCAAAATTCGAAAATCAGTTTTTTCAATGTTTTTCAGAGCAAAAATAGTTTTGAGTATAGGCGTACCGTAAAAATACAAAATCTCAGCATCAATAAACTAATAGCACAAATTCTTTTCAGCATATTTATCACTTATTAGAATCTACATGAGAGTATGGATCACTGTGGGCAAGCATCCAGGCTGATATTAGGTGAACGAGTGCAAAAGTAGTTTTTAATGGTTTAAATAAGATAACATATGCGATAATCTAT